CCGAGGGCGACGTACTGGACGCTGTCGTCAATGCAGTGGCCGGCCGTGAGAACGTACTTGGGGGCGATGAGGGCACCGCCGCAGAACGTGCTACCGGCCGCGGTCTCACGCAAGCCAGCAAGGTACAAGTGCTTGCCAACGGCGGCTTCAACACCGCCGACGATCTCGGGGTTGACGTTCGTGCCGTTGCCAGCAGCGCGGAGCGAGGCCGCGTCGGTGGCGACCGAGAGCGCGGCGAGGGCAGCGAGGATGGCAGACGGAGCACGCATCGTGGTAGTTGTGGTTGCAAGAAAGCAAATTGAGATATGCCTCTGCTACTCTACTCACAATTCGTACCCGCTAACGACGCCCGAAATACAACCCGACTCTTGTACTCAGACGGTGCCAACTGCGTTTCGATCGCTGTGACCAAGTTCAAAACGCAGGCCCCTGTTGGGGTGCGAGGCCAAGTCGTGTGGGGTCTGATAATCGTATCTGATAAACGGTCGTGGTGCAACGACCGTACAGTCCACTCAGGTGAACTCAGATGCACTCGAAATATGCTGATATCCAAGGTGTACTCGGCGCTGCGACGTGAGCAGCTGCGCCTTGAGCAGAGCACGACTCTGACCTGATCAGAGCGGCGCGTATGAAAGACGCGGCTCGAGTGTCCTGATTGGCTGCAACGTTCAGGATGCACGAATCTGAGTCAAGCGGCGCAAACAAGCAGAGCTCCGGGAGACCCATCTGGGACCGAGGGCAATCAAATCAGATAATAGAAAGATGCCCAAGATCGCGCTCCAATGAGATCTCGGCGCGCGAAATATGTTTTGTATGTATTGTGGCACCGCCCATTATTGTTTTAGCAAGTCGAAAAGTCTGTAGCGTTCGCGTCCCAGTGGCAAAGTATCTTACACATGGCTGTAGGACACGCACGGCGGTTCGGAGCTCGTACTTTCAATCACCATTGTCAGCATTGTCAGATGCCTACGTCTGATTTCGCAACGCGATGACTGCTGCTCCTGAATAATTTTTAAAGTTGTGAGATGCAGATGAGATGTTTACTCGTACCAGTAGCAATACTCCTCAACAGGGCAAGTCTCGGCCGGACTCAGACTCGTGATTTCTCACCTTTGGGCTACCGACATTAGGCACACCCAGCGAGCGGTACACCCACGACGTGTCTTTTGATCGGACATCCATGAGGATGCGCAACATACGGTACAGAGTACCACCTCGTGTCACCAACACTATTATTAATATAATAATTTCGTACATGAGAGCGAGCTTAGTTGGTCGGAATCGAATATTACTACTCTGGTGCATTGACCCATGTCTGGTGACAAGCGGTCATTACAATATTGCGGACATATTCCCGCTAACCTGTACTAATGCTACAAGACTATATTGGAACACGGCCAATTAAACCAACGATTGTCTTTGCCACTCGCACGAATTAGTGCGAGCACGGTTTGGAACACCGATCTAGTGCGCATACAAAACATATTTCGCGCGCCGAGATCTCATTGGAGCGCGATCTTGGGCATCTTTCTATTATCTGATTTGATTGCCCTCGGTCCCAGATGGG